TTGCTGGCAATTGTACATTAATTCTTATGGGGAAAATTGCCCTGATATTCACATGTTCATTAATCGCAATGACTTTTAGTACAGGGTATTCCTGTTCTGTACCTCATCACATTTTAAAATTAGGCTTTTTATAAATGATTAGACAACATGAGTAAATGACAGGGGATGATTGTTCATGGGTAGGAGGACTTCTCTATTTTAAATAAGATCCATACTAAAAAGCACACTTTTCTCTTATAATTAAGTGGTGCGTGTATATATGATTGAAAGAGTTCTAGTTTCAACAGCAAATAGAGTGATGTTTCCATAGTGTAATAAGAAAGCTCTGTTATGTGGCTGTAGAGAGCTGTATTATGAATACTCATAATGAAAAATTTCATAATTGTACACACTACTGTATATTGCAAACCAAAGTTTTATCATCTTATTAGTGCTCTACAGACATTAATGTAATAAAATAAATAAGGTATCAGGAGGTAGATATACAGTACTGTATCAACTTACTAAGGTACAATACATGACTGAAAAACTATGGTGAAAACTATTGATATACAGATACTGCAGAGTTTTGAGCTCCAGCACAAGCAGACTACTGTGTTATTTTGCTTTTAAAGATGACAGTTTATATTAATAGGTGATTGAATCCTGAATTTCCATTTTATGACTGAGATGTGCAAAGCAAATGATCCATAGGTTTGGGTGCTTCCTAATCTCTCATGACAGAGCCCATACTGTCACAATAGATATAATAGTCATTTGCTGCCAAAATAACTGCCTCTTTGAGCTTCAACTAGATTTCACGAAGGGTCCCCTGTAAATTGGCCATCACCATTTAAGCCAGAATTACTGATGCATGAGTACATGATGCAATTTGCATTTCCAAATTCACCTTTTCTTCCCAATACAGTACAGTACTGACTAAAAAATGTCCAGATAATACGTACACTTACTATCATGGGCGTCCATACCCTGAAAAATTATAAATGTTCTTTTTTCTGCAATCCTTGTTCACAATATGTGTATGATATCACAAGTTTTTAAGTGAACTGTTTGTTCTTTAATCTTCCCACAACAGACACTTGTGGTAAGCTCGGAGCTCAGTACCATTGGCGATAATGGTTTTATTTTTTAAACATTTTATTTACACCTACTGCTATGAAAATTACAGTTATAAGCAAGCTTCAAAAAATCTGCTACAATGAGTACATGTGTACCAAGCATGTGACTTGCAAAACCAAGCTGTGGTGGAAATGTGAGAAAAGATCCAATGGTTGCTGAATACAGGAATAAATGGCACAGTTAAATGATATCTACAACATAGATAATTATGCTGAGGGGTCACAGTACTGGTTTGAAATGTGGACACAGCGTCAACATTCCCAGAAGAAAACCGCATTTGATTTCCATGCAACCTTCTCCTTGACAGATCTCATGAAGCAGTGCGATTTGAGAAGCCCTACTGACCTGACACTTCTAGCCTCCGCTTGTTAAGTTAGTAGAGTGGTCATTTAGCATGCTGAGACATGTCAAGACATGGCTTTAATCAAATATGTCAACTAAATGCTTGTTTGGATTGTGCATGCTTAGCATGCATCGCCAGAAGGTGTCAGATACAGTAGAAAGAAAGCCTTCACTAAAGACATGATTGATTGTTTTGTAGCTGATTTACCATCGCCTGCAGTATTTATTTAACCATTTAAAATATGCTGCTAATAGTCTGAGCAAGTCGCCATGGTGACAGACAGCTAGCATTGGCCATCCCTGGATTTTTGGGATCCATGATATCAAATAAATTATTTTCCTTAGTTTTTAATGTTTAAGGTCAATGCTATGATAATTTTTGTGATTAATAATTTGGTGATAACACTGATAAGTGATATTGCTGATCATACAGTACTCGAAAGTAACTCGATTATACTTGATCATACTTTTATATGGATGTATATACACTGTTACTTGTTTTGAATAAACTGATATGTCATGTCTTGTCTTGTCTTGCTTTCTTGCACCCAATGGAAGAAATCCCCTGGACACTCATGTTTACTATGGTAATGAAAAAGGAGCACTACACACAGAAATAACACCATACTAATAAGACACTTGTAAACAAAGAAACGGGTGTTACATCATCCCCCAGGGAGAGCCATGTCCCACAGGAACATCCAATGATCAAGCATGACAGGCTGTGGACCAGACCATTAATCACCCTAATCGATATTATCTAATTCATATAATTCAAACATTTATTAATTTTTGCTGGGAAAGTACAGATTAATCACTCAGCACGAGTATGAATTGACTAAAGAGAAAACGCAAATTTTACGAAAAATTCAGAATTCTTCAAAATTTTATTTTTTTCAAAAATAAAATTTAGCTACAAACAGAAAAAAAGATAAGGTTCATTTAATCTGCTTCCTGTAGATGTTAAATGATGACTATTGGCAGGACAAAATAAAGAAGCCATAAAACTTTACATACTGTACAGGGCAGGAATGAGCAAAAATAATTTAAAAGGATCATATATGTGCTGTATGCCCTTATTAGTAGATCCAGTTCCTGACTTAATTTAATTTCTAATGTCATCCCTAAAGGACGACTCACCCACTGGTCACTCTAAATTTCTCACAATTCGCATACAGGTATCCCCCGTTTTATGATGGAGTTACATTCCTGAAAGCCACATCGTAAATCGAACTATCATAACTCGAGTTCAATAGGTAACGTTCCCAGCCAGTTCGACACCCACATGTATCACCAAAAAAAAAAAAAAAGTCTTACAGTAATCAAATAAATATAAAACAATTAAACAACACTCGCCACATCATTAAGAACAAGCCTAGCCACTTCACAATGTCAAGCTTCACCTCCAAAGACACGGTTTTCCTGGAAGCCTTAGCCTTCCCAGATGCAGGAGCCTTCAACAACAGCTTGCTGGGTCATTTTTAAAGTTACACTGCTCACTTCACAATAATAGAATTTATAGAAGTTTGTTTTATAACATAGAATTTTGCTGTCTTAATAACCAAAATAAAAATTGTTTTGAACACTATGGAGCAATTAAGGACCTATTTATAACCTGAACAATGCTTGAGCTATTTTCTAAATATACCAATGGTACTCACAGACATGCTGTCGTTTTACGTTTCCTTTAATTGTTTTCTTTGTTTCTTCTCGATGAATGTAGAGATTACAGAAGAAACATCGATTTTGCATAGAACATCGGCTTCTATACACAGCAATGCCTAGATGTTTCAATTTATCGTCCCCCATTGTTGAGAGGAGATAATTCTTGATCTGCTTTAATGTGGAGAATGAGCTCTCTCCAGTGGCGTTAGACATCATCATTGACAGATAAATTTGCAGCATAATCTGCACATTGGAAAATGCTTCATCCAACTTGTGAGTCTTTAAAACTCTGTACATCTCCACTTCAACATGGATAACCCACCCATGAGTGAATGTAAGAAGTGTGTGTTCCTTTAATGTTTTTGACTGATTATTTTTATGATTTTTTTTTTTTGCACTTTTGGTATAGTATTCTGTATGAACGATGGTATGTATGTAACAGTACAAAAAAGAAGAAGAAGAAGTATATCTACCTGAAATAACCAGTTGAAAAAGAACAAAAACGCAGCTCACAGATTGGCTTGATCGGGGAGGCTGAGATCCCCGACACTAACTCCGTGGACGTTTAGAAATGTTGATTCTCTTTATGTTTTTGACCTAATTAAATTTTTTTGGGCACATTCTGTATGAACTTTTGTGTGTGCATGTAGCAGATTAGAAAATTAATAAATTAATTGCATATATCAATCCAAAATTATGTTGAAAAATAACTATAACATAGTTCACAATTGGCACGAAGAAATGTTTATTCCCTGTTTTTTACTTTATGATGTATAAATATTTTTTTAGTCCACATTATGTCTGAACGAATGTGTATGCAAGTAACAGTAAAAAAAAAAAAAAATATGTATATATATCCGAAAATGTGTTGAACATTAACATAGCTCAGAACTCAGCCTCACCTGCTCTTGAGTGCTACTGGGTAGTGAGTCAGAGACTGCTACACAATTATGTGCCATCTCCACGGATATTATCTCTTGTTGTTCCTCGTTAATCGATCATTTTACATTAATGATGGATTTTGCAGGAACATATCCCAATTGTTAAACAAAAGATACTTGTACTGTATTCAGCGCATTAGTGAGTTTGGCCAGACGATGGCCATCATTCATGTGGTTTTTTCTATAAATAGGGAGGTAGTCTTAAATTATCACCATCATTAAAGCAAAATATCGTAAATCAGGATATCATAAATTGGGGAATACCTGTAAATGCCTGTTCTATCTAGCATGAATTATATTTGTTTGGTATCACAATTTATATCTTCATGGGAGCGTTTATGCTCATACTGTAATAAGCCAATCATCTAAATAGGCATGACATATAAATCTTTTCCTGTCAGTCAAATCTAGTATAACGCATGAAAACTATGATTAATTCTCAGAGCCATCTTCAACCAGAATGGAAACACCGTAAACCAATAAATACTCTTTCTCTTACTAAAACGTAAGAATGTCCTAAAATCCCTATACCCTGTAAATAGGAAGAGGCCAGTAAGGATTCTTCAGGTCATAAGTGACTGACCAAAGGTCCTCCTCAAACTCCATCTCACCTGTTGAATCATTAAAAAGTAAAACAGATTCAAGTGTACAGTATTTATAAACTTGTTTGGCTTTCAAAGAACTACTGCATCAGGTTTAGAGTTCTATTTTACTAACTCTGATTCACTAAGCACAGGGCTATTAAGTATTACCTGATACATCTGAGAGGACAGTGCAGCTTGCTGTTAGAACATCTAATCCCTAGACAAGGTAGGCTCTGCCAAGGAGTGTTCTAGTGTAGAAATTTCAGAAGCCACTCATCAGATTATCTCTATGTTATAAACAGGTGTATTGAAATTTGTATTAAATAATTTTTCAACAATATTTTCTTACCAGGTGCGCCTTTCCAGAAAGCCTTGGTGCCCTCTTCTCTCCAAATCTTGCGTGCAGCATCAAAAACTCCACTGTATGTAGTCTGGCCAGCACGAGCAGCTACTTGTAGTCGGGTTTTAATAACATCAGCTGGAGTTGTCAAAGATGCAGCTGGGACACCACCTGCAGACAAAATAATAAGACAATTAACACAACTAAAACCTGTACAGGAATAACCAATAGGTAAGTGCTTGGTAATATTCAGCAAACATTAACTGATAACAATCATCTACTGGAAATTTTACTGGCACAGTGGAGTCATGATAATTTGTGAAATACAAATTTGCATTCTTAAACTTGTGGGTACCTCTATTACTACAGTGCTACCTCGTTAAAAAATTTGCTGTCAATTCTTCACAATTCGCTGCTAAGCACCAGACTGTTTATTCACATAAGAAACCATAAAAGCTGTAAAAATACAGTATATTTTAACTGTTCTAATTTGACTTGGAAATAAATAAAATAAAATATAAATATCCCATCAATGCCCGAATGTGACTTAGAAATACAGAAAATAAAATATAAAACTGTAAAGTAAGAAAACTTTAAAGCGGGAAGTGAATTGTGTGGAGAGGTAGGGTGGTGGAGTGAGCTATCCCTCCACCCCGAGCATTTGGTGCCTCTCAGACCGCCTTAATTCTGTATACCATTTTGCAATTTCACCATAAATCCCATTGGTATTATTTAGGTTCATCTGGTGTCGGGTGAATAAAATATTACCATAAGTTACCGGTAGTGTAATCAATTTTCATGAAAAAATACCACTCAACCCCAAACAAGTTATTGTGGTATTAAATTCCTGGTTCTTTGTTGATATACATAGTGCAGTAACAGTCAGCCCAGCTGTTTATGTGTTGTCAGCCCAGCTGTTTATGTGTTGCAGAACTACTTTTTGTGCAATCTGTACCGGGTATGTGTTACCCGTACTTGTTGTTGGCGAGTTGTCCAGTCTTCTCGGACTGTTCCTTGACACTGGGTCATGCAGTTTGTTAGCTTAGGGTGTGGTCGTTGTGTTGGCGACAGCTTTTACACTTTAAACAAATTCAAGCCTAGCTGACCCTAGGGCCAGCCATCCTCGATTTCGAGGGCATCCATTATTATTATTATTATTATTATTATTATTATTATTATTATTATTATTATTATTATTATTATTATAATACAGTATAATTTGATGTATTATACATGATGTTTAGTTTTTATTAAAGCAGTTTTGGAATAGTTTGTGTTTTTTTTTTGCCTTTGGAACCAAACTAATTATTTCCATTTAAATCAATTAAACTATAATACAAAGTTTGATAATTCACTGTCTTCTGGTACCTAACCAGCAAATCATCACAACTCCACTGTATAATGAAGGTTCTGTAACTCTTATACAATATCTCAAAATAGTATCTGTCCACAGTCTGAGTGAAACATCATGATACAACGGATGATAGATATTGGGATGTGCACATTCCTGCCCTGTACAGTTTAACATAAGTAATGCAATGTGTATTTATTTCAGCATAATTAATATAATGTTCAGTTACCAAATGTAGTAGGATCCGTATGCCACAGAGCCACGCATACCAACCCTCCTGGCACATCACAAGTTGCATGTAGCATTTTGGAAGTAATCAAACCCATCCTAGCAGATATATTTTTGAGATACTGTACAGATTATCCTCATTTATAATGAGGGTTGTGATCCAATAAAGGACCAGCAGAAGTAAAACGAGTATAAATGAAGCTGGACTTCACAGAAAAAGGGGAGATATTTTTCAGTCACACCCTAAGGACCCATTTTATGATGATGATGATTATGTACTGCATTAAGATTTTGTGCACATACTACAAGTTATAGCAATTTAATAACTATATACTGTACTGTTAATTTCATAAGTGAACATCATAAATGAATATATTAACTAAAATATTCTGTTGTTTATAGCTTGATAAAAAGCTGGTATTAGTCAAGTGTTGAGAGGTATTGGTACTTCACCCATCAGTAGCTTCATGTAACTGAGATAATGTCTACCTATCAATCTTTGATCCATTGGTTGGATTAAGGAATAGGGGTTTGGCAGCATAATCATTATTAAAATATTAGGGTGCAGGTCAGTTAGAGGAGTAGAATGACCTAGACTCCAAGAGTATTATCAAGTAGAAGTAAGATAAAACTCAGGTTAGTCACAGAACTGGCACTCCACCGCATGTAAAAAGAGTTCTTGAACCAGTCTGCATTTTTTGTTGCCTTTCTCAGAGAACAGACAGGATACAGAGGCTAGCTAAGACCCTATATAAAGCATGGAAATTCTGGCATTGGTATAGGAGTAATAGGATGCATTCAGAGGTGCACTTACAGCATTTGGTGCACCAGATGCTTTTCCAAGATGTATTATGAGTAGGGAAGATGAAAAACATTGGTGCACAGCTGCAAATGTGCAAAATTTAGCTCAGAATAAATGAAATTTGAATGGTAAAATGTAAACTGCATACAAGTAAATCCAGTTCTTGTGCTCTTGTAAAACTGATTTAAATAAGGGCAACCTGTAACTGAAAATATCAGTATGAATCTCTGTATAAGTGACTGTAGCAAAATTAAGCTATGGTAAATTACCAAAAATAACATCACTCTCAATACCTTAACTAAAATATTGTACATACCAATGGCACCAGCAATGAGAAGACTCAAAGCAGAGTTGTACCCATTTTCATCAGCTAGCAAACGTTTTGAGTGTGCATAAACTGGGAAATATATAGCAGAAAATGGGATATCTCGTAGCAAACAGGCACGTGCACCCTGAAAAGGTTACTTAATTAATATATTGTATCAATTTAAGTATACAGAGGTTATGTTATTAAACAGCACCTGTCGTTCAGTAACAGTGGGTAATATGGATTCAAATGACAAGAGTAATCACACAAAGTGCTCTATATCTGTTTGTCTGATAGAAAACTAGGGTGTCCTATGAAGGTCCTCAACCAGAATGACTATGAACTGTATTAATCCCTAATTACAAAAATGCAGGAAAGATCTAAAATTCATTTCTGACTAAACCAGTAGCAAGTGACTCGGGTAGTGTGCCAACCATGATTTTTGGGGTTAGTACTCAGGAATCCCTAACATAGATCCTTGGTGTAAACAGGGTTTTATGAAGGAATTAAATGGAGGTTGCTCCCAAGGACAACAGAGGGTATGGAGGTAAGAAGTCATGATGTTAAACTGATATACAATTCACCAAGCTGAACAGATGAGCCACCTCGAAAGGATTCCAAGATCACTCATTCAGTTATGGTTAACTTCCACTATTCACTGGAAATAGGATGGAGGGAAGGTGTTTAAGTCACTAAACTATGAACATAAGTCATAAAAGGCATTGCAGGATGAATCTGGTATTTATGACAATATTGTACCCTCCTTTTGGAGAGTTGAGTGACAAGAACCAACTAGAATGAGGGAGGTGGTGGTCAAAAAGTGTGCTAGATGCTAATGTGATGCAATGTCCCAAAGGGGAGAAAATCTAATAAAAGTAGGTGACTGGGCAGACTCTTAAATACTCCTTTAAGATGATGTGTAGTGGTCTGAAAACACTGAACCAAACACCAGCTAAAACTGTCATAATTGAGGCCCAACTTCCTCTGGGTAAAGCAACAATAAGTATATACAGAAGTGCTTCAATTTATGTAGAATCGTTTAAAAAAAATTCGCTAATAAGTTTTTTTTGTTCCAGTGCTCCAGTATATGAACAAAACCCCGCTTATATGAAAACACTGGATGATGCCGAGTTGCTAATACAGGCATCTGAAAGCATCATGTACTGAACATGGATACTAAGTAGTGTACGTACAGTACAAGTATTGTATTGTATTCAGGCATTTTTGTATAGTAAAAAGTAATTACTATTGACCTCAGAATACCTCTTAATATCAAGTGCACATGGCTTCAAAATGGCCTCAAAATGCCCAAGATTTGAAAAAAAAATTCTGGAAGGGGCTTAATGGGCTTACAGGAATCAAAGATAAATAGATGGAGACACCCCCCATTCATTTCTCAACACATTAAGTGTCAGAGCTATAAAATAAGTGTTCCAGCAAATTTAGCTGGAACCCACTTGAAAAGGGTGAGGACACCAACTGCATTAAAGACAATCTTACAAATGGGTAGGCAAACAAAAGAAACTGGAAACATTTTACACCTCTCCAAGATTTATAGGAAGGCATAATAATGAAAAACAAATATATATATATATATATATATATATATATATATATACTGTATATATATATATATATATATATATATATATATATATATATATATATATATATATATATATATATATATATATATATATATATACACAGTATATATATGCATTATATTTTATGTCGCCTTCCACTATCAAGTAACAATGTCCTACAATCTGATAACAATTAACTTCATGATTTTAACAAGTGATCAGCAATGAACATTCCTAAACTTAAATAATTTTGTTCAACTCATGCCTTTATGACTATGAAAGCTTTGTGAGTTTCCCTAACAGGTCATTCCTTCGAATAAAATATACATACAAGCTATAAACATACAAAAAATGCTATTCTGTAACTTACCTTATACAGTCCTAAAAATCCTAGTTCCTTAACAACAGCAATAGCAGATGGTTTCTTGGAAGTTGCGATCTCACCCGCCACTTGTAAACGAATCTTGACAATCTCGAGGGGATTGGTGAAGACTACTTGAGAGCCGCCCGCCTGTCACAAAAATTATGTAAAACTTATTAAAAATACCATTCTTTCATTTAATGTACTGCAATCAGTTAGCTGAAAATTATTTTCCAATTTTTAATGTTGTACATTAAATCAGTCCTTCATTAAAAAAATTCACCCAAACAAGTTTTAAATTAATTTTTTTAATATAACATTAACACTTCCCTCTTTTAAATTTTAATAAAGGAATGACAAGTAAAAAATCCCATTTTATGGCTCGGAGAAAGAGATGAATAACCTACAAGCATCCCTGCTAAACACACCCTGGAAGAGACTGTTTCTCTCAAAGGGCTAGACTGTTTTCCAGTATGACAAATCAACCACATGAAAAATGTTGGGGTTGTACATCAGCTCCTCACCCAGCCAACTTTGAGTTCTGAACCTTTGATTTAGTGGTTGTCTTTACAACCAGTGAATGATGTTTAGGTCAGAAGTTCAAAACTCTCGAGGTAGGCTCACACATCTTAAAACCACCTTCAGCCATATAAAGGTGTCTCAAGCTTCACTCCAATTAGTTCCAGCCAATTTATAAACTTCCTTAATAGAAAAGGGAAGGAAAACAAGTTACTCATCTCTTCCCTTCAGTCATAAATGTGGGATTGAACTTGAATTTCCCTTTTTAATGAGCATGGATCAGGCAATTATGTTTTGCATTGTCAAGTTGTGTGATGATGCTAAAGGTCATCAAAAATCCCCCTCTTGTACATCTGGGCTACATTTAAAAATTCTAGTAAATCTAGAAAACAAGAAATAAGGCTCTTAAAACAATGCTAAACCTAATTAATACTAGAGTAGACAGCTATTACAGTGTGCAGTGTGGAAATGCAACTTGGACAAATGATTAACGTATAAACATAATATATTATAGAATATTTAATAAAATAAATGTAAATTTATTACTCAGAAAAGGTTAAAACTAAATTTACTAAACATAGTCAACTACATTATAAGTGTAACTTACACAACTGCCAGCTAACACTTCACCCCACAAGGGAATATTGCCCTTTTTGTCAGTAAGTTTGTCACGAACTAAGTCATTCACCGTAAGCTTGATAGCTTTCTCGGGAGCCACACCAATGAGCTGGGGTACCAAGCCTCGGTACAGGCCCATGACTCCTTCATGACGTATTACCTGCAAAAAGAAATGACTTAATATCTACGTATTACAAGACTATAGTTCTTCAGCTCCTTCACACCTTATAAATAAAGACCAAGAGTGAGAGAAAGATACTAGAAGTTACCTGGAATAATAGTAAAGCTTATGTATAATAACAGCAATTAATACCAACAACAGAAACAAGGGTGGTAAGGAACACTAATTAAAGAGCGATAAGAAACACCAATAAAGGGTGGCGAGAAACATTAATTCATTGGAGTCGAAATAATTCGTGGGTTAGGTATCAGAAGACATCATGAATTATATCAAATCGTGAATTATAGTTTCATTGAATTAAATGGAAATACACCTGTAATTAGTTTGGTTTCAGAGGCCAAGAAATAACCATAAACTATTCCAAAACTGCTTTAATAAAAATTTATGGACTCGGGGTCCATTCGTATCCAAATTATCACGAAAAATTACAGTAATACCGTGTTTAGTGCTTCCCTGCTTAATGCTGATTCATTATAGAGTAGAGCTCTTTGGTCCTCATCTAGAGTTAATTTTTACTAGAAAAACAAAAATTAAAATCCATAATACAAGGCAGAAGTAACAAGACAGAACACTTAGGACTGACCAATAGGAGCCATGCTTGTTTACATTATCTCCACTGATGGAATCTAAGTATTTTACCCATACGTGCTTGCAGTTGCAGCCAATCAGAGCTCTTGTGTAAAAAAAATTCCTGGTAGTATTCAACTAACTTGATACAATTCCTCTTTATATGACTGACTTCTGGATATTATAGTGAATATTTATGATCAAAGTTATTTTTTTATAGAAAAAAGAAAGAAAAGAAAATCAATAATATGTACAGTTGCCAGCAAAAGTCCTCCCACAAACTTGTTACACAGGGCTGTGGGAAAACTTTTGCTGGCAACTGTACATGTCAGCTGTTCACTTGTGCCTGGCAGTGGAGCAGTCATTATTATTCACAGTGGTGTAGTCCTAGCTAAAACTGTAAGGGAACACACCAGTGGCACTGCCAAGGGGTAAGCACAGTGTAGTAAGCCCCCGAGAATATGTTGAAATTTTACCGATTTCGGGGACTTTTTGAGGCCGTATGGAATCGATATTATGACAAACTGTACAGTAGTCCCTCGCCAACCACGAGGGGTTAGGTTTCTGAAAAACCCCATGGTTGGCAAATCTGAGACTGGCAAGGCTAAAAGCTTTTGGGAAATAGGGGGTTTGGTTCCATGGCTGCAGATAACACTCATCAAAGCCTAACTAAGTTGCCTGTTCATTCACTAAACAATACCTGTACTGTATTGTACATTTAATTCAATTTGAGTCAAATACATAATTCAATTTGAGTCAAATACATACACTATAACATAGCTTAATATAAACTAAAAGTAATATTAATTTTACAGTACAGTCAACCCTCACTTTACGCGGTCCCACATTCCGCGTTTCCAGTTTCCAGTTTACACGTGCCCTGCCAGAACCCAGGAGGCTCACATTCTGTGGTGGGTGTACCCCTTTACACAGGTGAAGTATAATTTTTTTATTTAGCTCATAAAATTCATACAAATTATCCGGCCAGAATATAATTTACATTGCTGGAATTCTTACAATTTGATGATCATTTTGAATATAAACATCATAGATTTTGCATTAGACATACAAATTTTAGATATAATGTTTACTCTGAGTAAATATGTTATCTTTTGTGCAAAATATATGACATTTATATTCAAAATATTCCTGGTCTTACAAGGAATCCAGCAATGTCAATTATATTATCCTAACTTTAGTCTGATTTATTATTTATTACTAAAAAGGTAAACAGTCTGGTATTCCCACACATTCATCTGGTAGGGAGGGTTGGTGGGGGGTGGGAGGGAGGGAGGGACCGGCGACCGACCACCTGGCACCAGGGTGTGAAGAATATTTTTTTTTTTATTAACTGAAGATATTTGTTTTAGCTCATAAAATTCATACAAATTACCCGGCCAGAATATAATTTACATTGCTGGAATTCTTACAATTTGATGATCATTTTGAATATAAACATCATATATTTTGCATTAGACATACAAATTTTAGATATAATGTTTACTCTGAGTAAATATGTTATCTTTTGTGCAAAATATATGACATTTATATTCAAAATATTCCTGGTCTTACAAGGAATCCAGCAATGTCAATTATATTATCCTAACTTTAGTTTGAGGTATTATTTATTACTATACCTGGTTTTCCCCCCAAAATTTCTCAGAGAGGGAAGAGCCAGGGAGGGTAGTGTGAGAAGAGGGGGAGGGAGTTGAGTCCATTATTTGAATGGACATTAACTTGGCGACTGTATTTCTCTTAAGTATTAATTGTGTGCATGTACCATCATAAAATTAAGATGTTATTTTTACTAGAACATAGGTATTGTGTTGGAAAGAGTGGAGTTTGGGGGTCAGCTAGTCTCTATTTCATTTAATCCCATATGTTATGTTATTCACTTTACGCGTTTCTCACTTTCCGCGGTACCCTGTGGGTTACATTAACCGTGTAAAGTGAGGGTTGACTGTACATCTCTGTGGAGATGGCATGTTGCTATAAAATAAGAAAAATGAAGAGAATGGGTGTGTGTGTGTGTGTGTGGACTTGGCAGATCACCAGGTTAGACTGTCCCTGTACTACATCCCCCTAATTCTCCCCCTATCAGGCTAAGCTGTGTTATTGTTATTTTTCAACTTGTATTTTTGGGTAGACATACATAATTTTATTCTCTCTTTTTTTATACTCCGTTACATGCACATACAATAGTTCATACAGAATGTAAAAATTAAATAAATAAATAAAAGAAATAGCTATCATAAGGTCAAAAAAAAGAGAATAAAAACTTCTTAAGTCCACGGAAGTTAGTGTCAGATTGTAGGAGGGGAAGGGGGAAGGGGGAAGAGGGAGGAGGGGGCAGTGTTGGGGATCTCAGCCTCTCACTATCAAGACAAGCTGTGAGCTGCATTATTGTTCTTTTTCATCTCGTAGTTTCGAGTAGAAATACATAATTTTTTTTATTTTTTTTTTTATTTTTTACTCTATTACAAGCACACAATCGTTTATTTGTAAATATCATTATATTTTTCAATTCTTTTGCATTTTCTAATTGTACATTTGTCACCATGTACCATACTGGCACTCCTGAGACACTAGCCTGGGTAGAACATAGGCTAGGTGTCTCGTCTCCTCATCACTGCTAACAATTCTTCATAATTTACTCACTCTCTGAATCTGTAACAAACAATTTGGCCTTTTTCTTGTTATAATTTAGAGATTCCCATTTCCACCTGATGTTCATGACATATTGTAAAGAGAGGGAAAAACAGACATACAGTAAAGGGACGTCAAGGAGTTACAAAGACGATTTTAATGAACAGCATCTTCAACTCTCATCAAAACATAGCATACAGCTGACTGCAATTATATTTCATTTATGTCTGTCTTTGCCAGATGGCAGCTTGCAAATAGTGTGGGTGGCCACCAAAAGATTGATAAAATATGGTAAAGTAAATGTGAAAGGGGAATGATCCTCTGACAATTGTGGCATTATTACAACTGTCACACCAGTATAACCGTTGCATCAAAAGGGTTAAAAGGCATCGCATCATAACTTAAACAAAATGTGAATTCTGGAAACAAGATGATAACAGAGTAAACATGAAAAACAAGCTCTCATTGATAAAACCAGTCTTCATATGCTTCTCAAAACCAGCTGATAAAACAAAGTGTTCTACAAGAGCTCACCTTCTTAAAACAATCAAAGGAGTTGCGGTACATAAGTTCACCAATGTAGGAGCCAGTACGCTGATTCTGCATTCTCGTTTTAACTAGATCAATAGGATACACAGCTGTAGCACCAACAGCTGAAAAAAATAAAATAGTGTGCTATACCGTATATACTTGAGTATAGTTCAAGTTTTTATGATAAAATTTTTATATAAAAAGTAGGAGGTTGAACTAAATATTTTAGGGATTAAAATTCATGCATTTCTGTGGGTCATTTACAATAAACAATAGCTACCTGGGACATACTCCCAGTAGGCTAATCTTACCGAGCTGTGAGTTATAATGGTTATTTATCAACTTGTAATTTGGGGTATAAATATGTAACTTTCGTTTTTTTTTAATCATTTGCATACACACACTATACTACATACATATTGTGAAAAATAAAAGAAAAATAAATAATCGTCATTTCTTTGCACGCAATTTAGGAGGCTGAGCTGGGGGAGAGTGAGAGAGCAGTGTGTGTTTGTTTGTTTGTGTTGGGGGGGCGGGGGGGGGAGGGGGGGTTATGTCGATAGGGAATCAGCAGAGGCCCAGGTAGGCTGCATTGCTATGGTGACTGGCAAGTATTGAGGCGGCCATGCAGCCAGCGTCTATGGAAATGGCAGTTGTGTTAAACTTTCATTTTGTTTTTATTTAATGGTTTCAGCTGCATTTTTCTTCTAGATTGCATACAAATGTTGTTTGAAGTAGCACAATTATTAACCCTTAAAGCCTGGGTGACAATCTTCGTTACTAAGTGGGACCAAATACTTTATACAGGTACTGTATTGGATATTTGTTTAATTGGCAACTCAACTCACGCATAATCTTTGTCTCAAGACTTGTGCCTCGTGGTTATTTACCTGCCAGCTATCGTGATAGATGCACGTCCTTCGACTTATGTTCAGTAATTTATTGGTGCCATATTCATTGCTATGATAAACAATAAAATCAATACATAGCATATCATATAATACAATAGCACATATTTCATGTAAAAAAAAATTAGTTATTTCCACTCAAACCATCCTCTGAGCAACAGACACAGTTCAGGCAGTCAACCAGTTGACTCACAGATGTGAGGCTGCTGTGCTAGCTGTGTTGGGAGGGATTGCATAGCTACATGCCAAGTAACCCACCACCTCAACACAGTCACTTCCCACATATGCTCTTCATTTGTCTTATTTTATGTTTCATATTATATTTTACAAATTTCCAATTCACATTAGAGTATTGAAATGATTTTTCCACAACTTTTATAGTTACATTACAAGTACCTGCAACAATAAATACAGCAGCTGGGCTGGCAAGTCAGCCACGCAGTTATTAGCCTGCCACTTACACACATATATTCACTTCCCACATACACACCCAAGTTCTTCATTTTCTTATTTTATAGTTTTATATTATATTTTCTTTAATTTTAGGTCACATCATTTATGTAGTGTAATAAGTGTATTTTGGGTCAAAATATGCCCACGTGGGGGGTTTCAATCGGATCTTATGTCGCCTGGACTTTAAGGGTTAAATAACGTAAGAAAGGTAAGTGGCATGGTTTGTGAATGCTGGGAAATAAGTACTGGGTTGTGAGTTTGCTTCAGCCATATGACTTACCATGTAGGCCGTTATATAACACCTATGATAATATTTCTTAATTTTTTTATCTCTTTGTTTTTGTTTGTTTTTCAGCATTTTTATTAGTTTTGTATTTGTAATAATAACATAAGACTCATCATTACAGCCACATTACCCTAACCCTCTCCCTACCACTCCAGACCAAGTTGTGATCTATGTCATGGTTATTTTTTTTACTCGTAATTTTTGGTACACAGTATACGTACATAAATTTCTCTCTTTTTTTTCTACTATGTTACATGCACACACTCTTAGATACAGAATGTGCAATCATAAGTACAAAAACATAAAAGGGAATAAACTTTCTTCATGTGCTAAGAGTTCACGCTAACCAAGGGGGGGGGGTGGGGTGTGTGTGGAATCTCAGCTGTTCTGAGCTGTCTTTCTGTCTCCAGCATATAGTGAAATGAGTGACAAATGAAGAGGGTTTTTTTTATTTATAAGTGTTATTTCTATTTATTCCTCACAATTACTGGTACAGTATAGTGTATATTATTTTATCTTAATCCTCATAGAAATTGGTAACTGACAGGAATTCAACTTCACAGTTGGTAACACTGTTCATAGCATCAGCTGTTAAGGTGGTGGTCACAGCCAAGGCACAGTGTGAATATGGTCTTGTTATAAATGTCTAGGATTATACCAAGAATTTGTCAAAAGTTAGGGTTGAATTGTATAAACTCAGGATTTTTTTTACCCCAAAATCAGGGATCGAACTATACAGAATATTAGATTGGTTTATGCACGAGTATATACGGTAAGCTTTATTATGAAATCATGACACAACATATACTGGTTGTCTTAGAAGGGTGTTTAAATTAGTACAGAAGGTTAACAAAATTATATACTTCATGAAATTATGGAGTAATTTTAAAATTGGAAGAGATTGTGAAATCCCATTTTATGAATAAGTTGGAATTCAGTAACTTTATATAGCCAGCAATTCCAAGGGTTAAAACCCCATACCCTCTAGCCTGATTTGTAACCATGTGACCAATATCTAAAAATCATATAAACACAAAAATTTGAGTATCTTTCACCCTCATACTGGTTAAAAAGGTATCCTAAGAAAGGAAATGGCTAAAGAGTTTTGCTGATGAGCATATTACAATTGTTCTGATCCATTCATTTGTTGACAATGGCTGTAAATCATCAAGCATCTGGAACAAGCCTCAATTATGTGGCTCACCTTACCACCCTAGAGGAAGAAGGGCAGAAAGACGAGTTGCTTGATCCAAAGTTGGTTATAAAGTGGTCAACTTCCCAGTGTATATACAGGGTGTATGTTAGCTTTACCTTTAATTTCTATGGCATTTTTATTATTAATGCACCTTACAAAAACATCAAACTCCTACTTTAAATAAAATTCCTCCTTTTGATATCTAATCAATAAACAAGACATAATAGACTATAGGGGTTAGCACACAAAACTTTTTTTAAACCTAAACATGCCTTTGTATGTAACTAAACTTAATACTCTGTACTATCATTTCACATGAAGTGGTCACGATCATATACAATAAATATATGAGACAATTGAACAACCATGATGTAAAAGCCATAGAATATGTAGTAATGTCAAAAGCCTAGACCATATATAGTGGTGCCAATTGCCTGCCATATTCCATACCAAGTAGATGAAGTTCTGGATACACAGGCATGACAAATTTGACCAGAATATACATACAGTAAGTACTATAAATAACTTTGTATACTATCAAAATCTGAATAGTAAATGATCAGTAGCCATCATCATCAATAACAATATTTTACGGTAATTTTCCACACTTATGTGGGTTAACTTCAGTTACCTGACGGCAGCTCTCTCCATGCTGCATGGTCTCCTGTAGTCTCTCTTGTCAGGTTCTTAACTCTAATCTCATTTGTCAGAACCCTCTCCTTGTGTCTTTGTGTTGAAAAATAATATATATTTAAGAAATATGTTGAAGGGAATATTTATGTTTATCTTATGTAAGCTCCAGTGCAGCCGTACATACATATCTAAGATGGAACAGAAAAACAAGCCTACTGGACAAAAATGGCTCTGCCATGGGTGTTCTAGTGCAGGAATCTTACAGGTCACCACTGAATTATAAGTAAGCTACGAATAAGCATCTAAATGCTATGAAAAGTAAATTGATTACATCTTTTACTAACCACCAGCAAATGCACCAAGGGTGAATCTGTAAACTTGCTCCAGAACTTGAATGAAGATACCACGTTGCTCAGGGCTTTGGACAGCCTTGATGTCCGTCAACTTGCGAGTGATTACCTTCATATACTGCTCAGGGGTGAGGGCTTCTAGGTCACTATATACTATTCTCCTGAAAATAAAACCAAAATATAAAGATACTGTTCAACATCATAAAAGTTGAAGTTACAAGAAAAAAAAATAGGGTTTAATCCGAAAGATCCATTTTACAATCAAATCAGAAAGGCATGACTTGTGTACAGTATACTGTACCATAAAAACTGGTGAATTTTGCCCAAGGAACCTAAGACTAAGGCAGCAATGGTTAATTGTGTATCACACAGCTACTATGCAACATGTTTCTCACTTGTCTATACCAAATTTTGCACTTCCAATGAACCTCTGAGATATACCTGGGAGACAAGTGGGACCCCATCTTTCCTTATTTGGGTTTCAGGATCACTTTTCATTTATAACTTGATACCAGTTTGGAATGACTAATCTACCAAAACAAGTCACCAAAAGGTTAGAGGTGCAAATAAGTTACAATAGTTGAACAACACAACCTTGTGGGCTTTGTTCTACATTACTTTACACCACGGAAGAAAGTTAGTTATGTGTGAGTTTTCAGCAAACCCTTCAAATTCTGCTACACCTTGCAGACATTGGGTAAACAAGTAGCAGTCAGATAGCTCAGCTGAAGGACTCTTTAAGTGAGTATATAACAAATCTTGGAGCAAAGTCTTAATGACTGGGGCTAGAAATTGCTGAATAAAGACACTTTCCACATCTTAAAACAAATCTTGCTAAATCTACATAAATTTTAAACCTACCTCTAACTTATAAGTTCACGGATAAGTACAGAACTGCCTCTTTCTACTCTCTGGTAAAGTCTGAAAAACAACTGAATTTACCCCAACCAAACACAGACAAATCAAGATGGGAAACGAAATATTGGTGGGCTAAAAAAAAGTCCTCAGCAAATTATCCACTCACAGCTACCTCTGCCAAGAAAAAAAGTTCTGTAGTATTCTGAGAAGTCAAGGGGACAAAAAATTCTGATCCTTTGTGTTGCAGTCTCTGAAAAAATCATCCACTCTCACAGAATCACTGTAAACTACAAGTTGCCCAATAAATACAGAAGGTATAGTATCCAGCAGCACTACAAACCAGTCCACCCATGGGCAAACTCCCAGATACAGAAATCAGGAAAAAACCATGGATCCCCATCCATTCAGATGGTAAAATACCATCTTGTTCCAGTTATATGTGTGGTCATCATTTTGGCAGGATTCCCAGGTCCAAATGAATCATTTTCTAAAACATCTCCCTTTGGGAAAGTAAAGACAGCCATAATTTTCTAAATGCTAACCATAAAACAAATAGTGGTACATAAAATGTACACCACCCCCATGCCATACCACAAACAAAATATGAGTAAAAAAATACAAAATTAAAGGCATTTTTGCCTAATACTACTAGGTCACTATTGCATTAAAATATAAACTTTCTAGCTTACTGTAACTACATTAAAAAGGGGCATTTTCCTAAAGTACCTTGTCACTATTTCAGCTTCCTAGCTCGAAAAATGCTCGAGATATTGCCCAGGTAAGTAATAATTATAAAAATAATAACACTAATAATATAATGTGCAACCACTGAGTACCCCCTTTTCAGAACTCATATCCTTGGAGCACTTTTTGCTCGGTGAGGCAAATGAATATGTAATGAGGGAGAAGGGATGATTTACAATATCTAGCAAGTAGTAACTGAGACTCCTCCCTATTTCCTTGATCACCTTTATGCTCAACGCATAAAACTAACTCATGATAGGGGGCCAAATGTATTGTCCACAGCAGTTTATGGAGCAAAGAGAAGCAGCAGCTTTATTCTACTCTCTCCCCCTAGTATGTGTCCATGATGAGATAAAATAATGACAAAGGCTGTAAGAAAAACTTTCTTCATCTCATACAAGGAAAACTAGGAATTGGTACCATTCAATAAGTAAGGTATCCAAGGCCATTCCAGATATTTCACAAAATATGGTAAATATACTGAACATTATACATTATCATATAAAGTTAAACTTCCAACTAATGGACCTCGACCTAATGGATACAGTAGGGTCTCAGAATACGCAAGGGTTACATTCCTGTATATTATCATGAGGTAAAAAACACAGAGGCTAAAAATTTCTTGTGAACTGTGAATGATTATTTTTCAACTCATAATTTCATGTAGATACACATACTGTAATTTTATTCAAATATATTTACTCCCTCACATGCACATAAGATCAAACACAACGAAAATAAACATTTCTCTTTGCGCTGGAGTTAGCAAGCAGAGTAGGGGAAGGGAGAGGGGAAAGGCATGAGGGATCTCAGTCGCTAGCTGTCTCCTGAGTCCATTATGTAGTGAAACGATTGCCAAATGGTATGCAGAATTATTTTATTTTTATTAGTACCCTGTACAGTCTGTACAGTCTGTATTATTTCATGTACCGTTACAAAGAATATCGGTAGCTCCTCCCAAACTCAAACCATCCTCTGGGCAATGTGACAGGTCAGCCAGGCAGTCACCCAGCTGAATCACATCAGGGTAGGGAGCGCGACTGGAATGGTGAATAGGCGACCCAGTTACAGGTCACTGCCTTCACACACAAACATTCACGTCCCACACATACATTCCCATGCTCTTCATTTTTCTCATTTTATAGTTTTATATTATATTGTCTTTATTTCTCAGCCACATTAGAATATTGTAAGGATTTTATTTATTTATTTTGTTCTCAAACGGGCATGGTCAATTGATAAACACGCTGAGCTATCAAGAGATGCTGGGTGGGTTAGCTTCGCACAAGAGCAAGACCCAATTGTAAGGGCGGTTCAAGGGGTGACGGTTATAAGCGAGGGTCACGTACTCTTGAGACCCTACAGTATTGCATTTAATGGACATGGACATGGCCACCACATGCTTTTCAAGCCAATTTGTCAATTGGTGTGTGCAAAGAAAAGGAAATGCAATGTCCTGACAATTGTGGAGAAATTAAAGGTTTATTGAGAAAATAGAAGTCCGTATAGCAACTGCTAGAATCATGAAAGAGTTTGACATAGTAAAACAGTGTTTCAATTACATAATCCCAAAGGAAGTTTTCACTGGTTCAGTCCTTAATGTAGCTTATCAATAATAAAGATTCTGAAACCCAAATTTGGAAGATAAGAAACACCGACAACTTTGATGTAATGTGTGATGTGGGAGAGTTTGTGTGGTAAGTATCTTTGTACCCTACCATGATAATGTTGACTTCCCTTTGGAGTGTGATTTCACATTGCTAGTCACATTTAGTACCATCTCCATTTTCCTGGCTGTCTTCAGATACTTTAGCCGCCTAGTGAAGGACAACTGGTGGTACATGAAAGCTTGATTCTGAAATCCCATTTTTTTACTACACCCAGGAACAAGACAGCTTGGAAACCCTCCTTTCTTCTATAGGTTAGTGTATCTGTTTGGACTAAATAAGGATTGCTCCCTGGAAATGCAATATGGCTTAGCCCTCTATTGTTTGTAAGGGAAACCTTTACATCTACTCTCCCTTACCAGGGTGACAATGGCAAGGTTTACTATTGTTTAGATTAATCCCAGCCACTAATGTTAGGTCTCACTGGTCTAGACCATTGACTTAGTATATGTTTAGTTCCAGATTTGGGTAAAATATGGGATTTCTGGATCAAACCAAATGTTAGTAATATTATTCCCCACAACTTATATTCCTTTTGCCTATACAGAACCTGTAAAAGTTCTCTAGAGTAGCCACTTCTAATATCTTATACTCTTCATGAAAAGAAGTTATTCAATGGATGAGTAAATGGTCTAAATATGAGGTGATGTGATACACTGTATCATTATGTTATTCAAATACTGAAACTGTAGTATGTAAAATTCAACTTTTAAATTAGTCCTATAAAACAATTAATGAATGCTCTAAGTAGAGCAGCCTAGTCAGCCCTTCAATCACTGTAATATCATAGACAATACTTAAAACTGCAAAGATTAATTATAATGATAAATATTCTTGATATATTCATGAACAGTGATAAAACAATTACAAATAAACAAACTTTCAAAGCATGCATAGCATAAATTGTAGGTGCATCATTGAAGGAAATATATTTTCACCTTAAGGTGGTTTGTGCATCATCTGGATGAGAAACATAAAAAGTGAACAGTAACAGCCCTTTATAATATACTGAATGTTACAATACAGGTGGAGAGGCAGTTGAGGTGATATTACAAGTCCAAGTGCTAATCCTAGATATACAGTATATGGAGGAATAATTCTCAATCAGATAAATAATTTTTCACCCGGTCAATTATTTCATGGGCTATCTAGATCAATATGATGTGGTCTTAATCTGATTAAGAATTTTTCATCAGACCTTTAACCCTCTGGTACTCCTGGCCATGGTTGTAAATCTCAACCCCTTGCGGTCTTTTGATGCAAATAGCATCGTTTACAATGTCACCCCCTCGCAGTCTTTCAAAACAAGTTGTGTCGATAACAGGAACAGTTTTTCCATTTTAGTAAACATTGGGTAGAGCGATCCATACCCAAATTGTGCCCTTAGAGACACATCTGCCAGCCCGAAAGGCCAGTGGGAGGAACTTAGGTGGTTGATAGGGCTAGTCCACTGTTCCCGTGTTTCTGCTTACTTGAAGGGTGATCTCAATGTAAGATACAGCTGAGTGGGAGGGGTGTGCCAGGAAGCGGGTGCTTAGAGATACAATTTGCATTGAAAGACCACAGGAGGGTCAAGTTGATGCCTGGCACAGGGATCAGTATGTCACTGACCCCAGGATACAATGAGGTGGTAAGAGATAATTCACATTTCACACAATTGTCCACAAGAAGTACAGTACATATTAACGTTTCTTAAATCACTGTATCAAATTGTTTTCCATTAGTTAATTTATGGTACTTAAGATTGCATATATAATAACTGTACTGTATTGGGTTATGAAAACTGACAAATGAGACACTGATTGGTGATAGATAATAAAAATCTGATACCTTTTAACTACTATACCTGTTAATTATACATTCATGGCCTTCTAGAAAATTTATTTAGAGGTAATTCGGAGACCTTCACAAGATCTTTCAGTATTTTTATTTTTCACTCTAATAGTTTTCCAAAAAAGAGAATGCACACCAAAGAATTATAAAACTTACCCATGCACTTAGTCAGGGGAAATAATTCTTGCATCAAATTATTATTAAAGAAATGTATAAAAAGTGAATCTCCTCCTTCATTTTATACATGAATGCAACCAGATAAGAGGGACAATGCAAGTAGTTCCACAACAATATGAGGTGGGATCATAAAAAGTCTACAAGCAATATAAGGGAGCCACATACACAGGAAGAGAAAGGTGCTTGCCAAACAGTACTTCATAAAAATGAGCCAGACACATGTAAAGATAGAGGTTACTGGTTCAGGATACTAATTGCAACTTACCCTTCGTGCAGCCTGAGCAAGCTCGTGTAGTGAGTAATAGTGATTATTAGTACTAGTTTAACTGATGCATCCTTGATTTTAAAAAAAATGCATGTAAAGTAATATACTGTATTGAATAAAATTAATATACTCTAATTCCTTGTGTTTCAACAAAATAAAGAGAATTAAGCAGAATTCTAAAGATGTACCTTTTTGTTGACATAAGACATGCTTATTACAATATGGAACATTTGTCTTCTAATAAATAACTAAAAAAAAAGAGTAGACATGAGAAGATTTTTACTGGATGACAAGATATTAAAAAATCAAGAAGACAGGTCTTTTTTTTTTCTGTGGAACATAGTGTAAAGAAGGCATTAAAATGGAGGACAGCAGCATGAAATCCCCTTTCATGACCAAGGAAGGAAATGAGTAACATTTGAGATACTTCCATTGTAACTATTTATCAGTACAGTACTTGCCATGTCTGAGCATTTAACAATGTTTAGCTACAGGCTTCCTGTCAACTAGATGAGTGCATTAGTACAACATGACTCCTTACCCAGTGAACCAGGTCTGAAGCACTACTTTGAACTCTTGGCCCAGTGATTTGCTTGACAGCCAGTGAGGCTGAAATAACAAATTTGAATCCCAAATCAGCTACATTCTCTTTGAGGAAAAGATGGAGTGTTACTTCCTCTTCACAAAGTCCCCAAAGCCAACAGAGTCTTCACCTCCCCCACCCTCAGTAAAGGAGGGTGCATGAAACAGGAAAAAGTGTGATGTCTGGCCAAATCTACAAATGAGTCAGATCAGGTAAAAGCATAAAGTGTAGGACACCTTCAGCAGAAAGGTAATTGTTAGGTCATGGTAGTGATCCATCCCAAGTGGAGTAACCTGATTGCAGATTATCCCTTTCTTGGAGTGAGATTGTGTGTGAGAAGATCACACTGTCCACCTCTCTGATGATACAAGTTTATATGTGTAAAAGTATGTCTGTTCATGTGTGTAATGTAAGACGACTGTGGCGTCATGGTCAACATGCTTGCCTCCCAAGTGAGTGGCTGAGTTCAATATCCAGGCAGAGTAAAAATATGGGCAAGTTTCTGTACACCATTTGCCTGCATCTACCCAGCAGCATTTGGGAACCTAGATGTTAACTGATTTTCCGATTGTGATCCAGGGTAATGGTTAGCCAGTGCAATTGGCGAGTTGTTTGGTCTTCTCGGGTTATTCCTTGACACTGGGTCATACAGCTCATTAAATTAGGGAGTGGTTGTTGTTAGTGACAGCTTCTGCTCCTTAAACAAATCCACTCCTAGGTGGCAACCATTATTATTATTATTATTATTATTATTATTATTATTATTATGTATGCAAGATGGTTTGTGTATGTGTAATTTAGAATGGGTGTTTAAGAGTGTGTCTGTGTGTTTAATCCCCAGGCACCAGGTTACGGTTAGCATACCCCTCCCCACGGGGGTATACATTCCCGAAAAAAATATTAAATAAAAACCATTACAATCTTACAAACTGCTCATGTATGATACAAAAAATGAAGAACTATATGTTCTTACCACAGGTTGACATCACCAGGCTAGGAGAGTCAAGAATGCGCGTGAAGTTGCATGTGTGTGAGGCAATATGAGGTACACAACACTGATTTGTAGACAGTATGATGTACAGGACATTTGTTTTATTATGTAATTACTACAGTATTTACAATTATTATTATTACTGTCTCCAATAATTGATCACATATCTGCTGATGGTCAAGAGACCCCAACTACACTTGCGCTTGGGGGTAGAAATATGTCGTGGGGCTCGTGGGGCTCGTAAAGTCAAGAGTGAGATCCCTACATAAAAAAAATAAAAAAATAAAAACTGAGAAGCTTCTAAGAACACAGACTGGGAGGCTTGTACCAAATTTTACGGCATATCTGTATAAGACAAACTTTTTTATCTGAAAAATGGCCAAAAAAATCAGCCTGCTTCCTATTTGTTTAGTTGCCGTTTTCCATAAGCTAATGAATCCCCCCATTGCTGTCTCCAGTAGGCTAAATTCTACCTAACCCAACTCCAGAATTAAAAATTTTTATTGCTTACTTAAACACATTATTATTTTTAATTAATTAAAAAATAATTATTGTAAATATAAAAGGTTGATCTATAACTACTCTGTACTGTACTGATGACGATAACCTGAGAGCGATTAACCGCTGTATGGCAAACACCCAGCACTTCAAAGGTAGCTAAGCAGTAACAATTTCTGGACTCTTACAAGCATTACAATCTATTAATGCCATACCTGCAACTTTTATTTTTCAATATACAAATACCTGATACAAATGAAGATTTACATATAACTTTCTTTTCACATTTACATCTGTTAACATCGCTGGCGGCATTGCAGCCAGGTTAGACCCGTCTCTGTAACCAGGCTACTGGGCCAAGCTGTTGATTCTCAACTCGTATTTTCGGGTATATATACTGTACGTAACTTTCTTCGTTTATTTTTATTGATATACAGTACATGCACACACCATCCTGCATACACATTGTGAAAAAAGTAAAAGAAATAATTGTCCTCTGGGCAAACACATAAAAGGGAATATACATTTCTTTGCACACCAGGGAGAAGGAGGACCGCTGATGGTGGGGGAGGAGCGTTGTTAGGGAATTTGCAGAGGTAGCATAGCCGTTGCTATGGTAAACAGGGAGTACAGATGTACAGTACAATAAGTCCGTGCTTAACATTGTTTCGGTACTATGTCGCTAAACTTGAGACAAAAAATTCATTTAACGTCCCAGTGATCCGATACTATGTTATTTTGCGTCGTCATGGACTACTTTCTACGGCGCATCATCCCCATCGTGTGGCAAAACTACGCTCTCTTGGCTCATCGCAGAGTCTCAGTGACTCACCACCCTCCTCTGCTCCCAACCTCCTCCTCCGCTCCCGCCACACTCCTCTCCTCCCGCCATCTGCCTCCTCTGCTTCATGACCCACCACACACACTCGCTCTACCACCTCCGCCCATAGGTGAGTACCAATATACTATTTTCTACAGAAATGTCAATGATTTTCTGTATATGTAATGTATTTCATGGGGCAAAGGGAGGATCAGGAACGTAACTCCCATATTTTATCTATTTCTTATCGGGAAAATTGATCCACTTAACGTTGTTTCGTATAACGTCGCATTTTTAGGAACGTAACCCTGACGTAAGCTAGGACTTACTGTATATGTAATGTATATGTAAATGGCTGCTGTGTTAAACTTTCATTTGGCTTTTATTTACTGGTTTAGCAACACAGTATATTTTTTTGTAACTTATTTATTGGTATTTTTATTTATTCCTCACATTTATTGGTACTGTATACTGTATATTGTTTTAAGAAAACTATGGCTACAAGAGGAAAATACACACAAAGATTTTTTCCTAAATACTCCCTGCTAAAATGGCCGTGCATCTCATATGCCATAAAATACAGTATACAGGTATGTAAGTGAGTGAAAGATAAATGCCTATTTGGCAACATACTCTAGCCAGGCCGTGTGGCAATTCAAACAGTACCACAAAATTACTAAACATCATATGACATAAATCGAAGCCTTGTAAGCACATGTCATATGATGTGAACCGAAGCCTAGGAGTTAAGAATATGTGTACATGTCTGTGAATAAATGAGTCAAGTCACCTATGGTCTGAATGGTAATACAACCTTATCAAAAGGTCATATCACATTTGATGGTCTGATGTTTCCCTCACTGAGGCAGAGTGACAAGTTACATTTCCATGAGCCCCACAATGGCTATCACTTTTTTCTGATGGAAAATACAGAACTAGTTGAGTGCCATTTGAATTCAATACCCTGTAGTTTTCTGGGTGTGATTATTGGTAAAAGCACTCATAATTATACTGTACACATAATAAATGTAATAAAATATTTTATAAATAAATTTAGTAATTTTTAATAATAATGGCTAAATAAAATATTTCAAATCTAATACTCATACTCACCAGTGCATGCAGTTGGAGCTAGTGTAAGACTGACTAACACCACCTGCAAATCCTAACATGATCCTACTACTACAGGAAGCCCATCTGGCTGTCCATCTTCTCCAGTGAAATGTTCATTGAATGAGTTGTCTTGGTTACTGTTAAAAGTTGTTGGATTGGGCAGACACCCTTATAACTTTTCTGCATTCTTAATAATGATTAAATGGTTGATACAGCCACACCTAAGCTACTACCATTATGAACTTGGAGACATACTCAATCTCTTGTACACAGCTTATGATCTACATTTTTACATACATCTTGATGCTTCTCCTTAACTGCTTGGACACTTTACCAGTATTATCACTTGCAGGCCTTTTTCCAAACATTAAGGGTCAAACATAAGTGAAAAAAGTTAGCAGCATGAGAGCAGATGCATGTCTGCAGGAAGAATTCAAAACTGGTAGAGGCAACTGCTAATATGGCTGAGTTGTAATCAGAGTAGGCTACTAATTCATTATTCATGTGGCTCAGAGAAAAGACAAGAATGCTGTATACAGGAAAAATTCTTCATAAAACCTAAGTTTTTACAGCAAGTGACTCTTCAAGAACAGGCCTTATAGTATTGAAAACATCCAAAGAGTGAAACTCCAATTCCTTCAACAAGCATAATAATGCCTACCCACAGCTTGTATTTGATGACCTCCCATACACATCTACACCAACTCCTATAATGGATGAGATGAAAGCCCTGCCTCCTACCACTCATGTTGCTTCAGCCTCAGCTGTGCCTGATGCCACTCCTAGCTCTTTAACTTCTCTATAACTGTAAACCTCTACCTTTGTCTACATAATACTGTTTGGAAGGGTGTATGAGAAAGAATTTTGGATACAAACTGTAAAATAACAAACAAATAACATCAAGGACCCACAGCAGGTATATAAACACTATCAACATTACAATATGTGTAGACCATAATCTGTTGCCCATCATTAAAAAAATTCATAAAAATCTAAAAACCTTCCAGCACATCCCCAGGAATGTTGGTGGAATCCAAGTTATTCCTCACTGATTAATATAAAAGGTTTTTAAGGATCAAATTATAACCCAGCACTAATTCTGGAAAAAAAATGGATTGCTATAAAATGGTAAGAGATGGAATGACATTCCAACTATTGCATGACTTCAGTTCAAACAAAGAACTTTACTTTGCAATAAAGCAGTGTAACAGGAAATGGCCTTCAAATTCCTGTGTCATACAACTCTTCCATGTCATCCTGAACATCATAAGAACCATTATCTGCCAGTGACTTAGATGTCAGGCCTCTTGAAAAGTAACTCCATAGGGTCCTCAGCATGGTTGGAGTTATGGAAAGCAAATAGAAAAAGTAAAACAAGGAGCCAATTGATAAATGAAAGACTGTTCCTGAAATTACATTTTTTGGCCAACCCTGGAACTAGGCAGTTCAAATAATGTGGGAACTATTCTATTTGATGATTAAGTGGTATTCTGGCTACCATATTTAGGATATACTTTAACTCGAAAATTTTTGTCCCTGAACATACTATGTTTTTGTTCGCATCATCTGCTTTCATTTTTGGAACTTACCTTGCCTGTTAACAGAATAAATGACAGGGTAACAAGATTCAAATCAACTCACTGTTGATAGAAAATGTAACTGCTTTCATCTTTCACGTTTCATGGACTTCATGAAACAATGGTCAACACAATAAATAAATATATTAGGTACAGTATACAAATATCTCAAAGTTCTTATTTCATTTGTTAAAACTGTACTTACCTTGCCTGAGTAAGATTGCAGGAATCAATTTAATTCTCCATCATATCAGAAATCATATTCATTATGCAGTTGTTCTAAATAATATACAACACAGAAAAAAAAAATTTAAAGTTCATCATTGCATTTTTACAACTACCAAAGCTATCGGAATTAAAATTGAAAATTTCTACCACTCATCACATCTCAATCGATAACAGTCACCAGTTACTTATTACAAATCAAAACACACTTTATTCCCAATTCAGCTTTGCCCCTTCACTGCGGGGATGATGCCACTTATATAATTTTATATGTTTAATGCCAGATGATTTTATTCAGAAGGGTTAATATCTTATAATTATCCTACCTGTAGGTGTGGTGAATGCTCTGTGTTGGCTAAACTATGTTTACCTTCTTGATAAAAGCAGCAACTTTGCTGCTTAGCAAAGTATTAATAATTAACTGGGTAATATCCAATTAAAAAAATCTACATCTCTACAGATCATCTAAAACAAGATTTTTGGGGAAAATGCCAACACAGCACAAGTGCAACACAATACATTACTGGCTAACAAGACATGCAACAAGCTAAACACAAGAGTTAAATCTGTATAATGTGAATATTGTGAACTTATGAATTTATAACCTCATACTAAGATACAATTTCAGAGTGTGCACCTCTAAACTCAGGAACCTACATTGATGTGGTAAGTTTCTTACCCAGAACTCTCGCTGATAAGTTCTGTCAAGTGGAAAAGGATTTCCACCTCCAGCGGAGTAATTTGTGACATCATCTGGGCTGAGTGCAGGAATTCCTCTGAAAGTACATTTTTCTCCATTAGAACCATCTACTGAATATATATACCATATGATAATTCGTATTCCAGTAACAATTTAACCAGACAAAAAATATGAAGACGCACAAGATGCTAAAATACATCTTGAGTAAAATCTTTAAAATCCAATATTTAAGGACCAAATACAAGTTCAATTTTATAGAAACAATAATCTAAACTGACTGAACCGACATGTTGTAGAATAATCTAGCTTAGCATATTTGTTTACTCAGTTGGTACAGTCATGGTCAAAAGTAATCATCCATACCTCCTACCTGCGAGCTCAAGGCCTTTCTACATGGTAGGTCACAAGAGGGTGGGACAGGTATTGATGGGGGGAGAGCTTGGGGTGGTGGACCCAGGTAGGGTAGGAGGGTGTAAGTTAGGGGCCACATATGTAGTGAGAGTGAATGTAGTTTTAAAATTATCCTTAACACTTGTCATGCAGAAAGGAGTCAGCTAGGTGCATGGGTTAGGTAGTGGAGTGGATGATTATTTTTTACCACGACGGTACATGAAGCATGCTGTCTTTTTCCACCATTTGTAAGATCTTGTAAGGGATAATCTTTATTTATAAGATTCAATAATATAAAATCTACACCCTATCATCCTCATCATCATTACCCTTTTACAGTCATTTTCTACGTATGTGTGGGTTAGCCACAATTACCTGATGACACAACAGCATCAAAAATACAAGACCAGCCCATTTCCAACCTCTGTTAAAATTATCAGACTTATAGTTACTATAACTTGTTTGTTCAACCTACGTTTCTTTTCCTTTTTGCAATGAAAGCTTTTGTTAAATGACCCACTCCTCAGTATATATACAGTGTATACAGTATTTTCAGCCTTTGGCTATTGTGCCATGTCCTTTCAATAAACCTTCAATTAATTATCATTAAGTTAATCTTCACAGATTCACAGTAAATCTGTGAAAGTGTTGTGATCGTCTCTGAAATGGATGAAAATGTAAAAAAAATTGTGGGTAGAGCTCTTCATTATCCAGTTCTGTAAGTGACAGTCGATCCCATATGGCTGACAACTAACTAGGAGCAGTGTGGTCACAGCACACTGATTATTAAGCTTTTGGTCCACAAGGAGATTGTTTGATTTTCACTTTCCCAACTATGAAGCTGGGTCCTCTTTACATATGGATGAACTGAGGGGTGCCCGGGGCATGAACCAGCACTCTTTTAAATGTTAAAGAATTGTTTATCAAGTTTAAATTCCATACACTCACAAACCAATTTAAACTAAATAACATTAAAGAACTCAATACTGTACCTTTGGTTATTTCCTGGGTACGGGAGCCTCCCGATGAATTGAGGTAGATACGCTTGCAGAGCTCCATGTTTGTAAGCAAAGAATTGAATGCCATGAAGAATGGGAAGCTTACTTTATGGCCTGTAGCAGCCTGGAAAAAAGAAACAAATACATTTCATGAATATTTTCTAATACAACTCTAAACATAAAAACTTTTATTGATTGGATATTACAATTTATTAGAAAAGTAGACAAAATAATGTAATATAACTGTATTCTGCTCAGAAGTACAGAAAAGTTAATGAGAAAAATTTTGTAACTATCAAAGTTACAACTTATCTTACAAAGTACAGTACTGCATATTTACTACTGTCAGACAGTTGTGCAGATATCCCATTTTTTCTTTAATGCAGAGTAAAATACAACAGTGTTTTCTAACTTTGAGTAATTATAGCATTACCCTGACTAAGATAAATGAAAAGCATCATAACTCAAACCTATTGATAGAACTGGATCCGATGATCATGACAAAACACATTTCCTCTGACATGAAAATCAAAATACTGTAATGCATGAAAAATAAGGCCACACGAGTAACAATGCCATTTATACATAAGAGAAAGGAAGCAGGTGTCAAGGACACAAGAACTCAGTGTTTACCAATTAAGCCACACTGACATATTAACTGTGCATGAATACATTACTCAGACATTTACAGAAGTACAGATACAAGCAATTATAGATTAATGATCTTAAAACAAGTCATTCAACCAACTACCTGATTGTCAAATTTCAAATAATTTTCTTTCATGTAATTTGTGGAAAAGTAAATAAAAGAAAAATATTCTGTATAGTATTCTTAAATTTCATATGCTAATTACGTACAGCACAATAAAAGTGTAGAACTGTAAAATAAAGTGTGGTATTTGGAAGTGAAGAAATGAGAGACTGGCTGCTGGTGTAAGTAACATTTTGCACCTTTTTGCTGATTTTTTTTCTCAAATGCCTTAAGGCACTGACTTTTAAATTTTTGAAGCCAGCCCATAGTGAAATCACAGTGCTGTGGAATTTTCAGGTCCTCATAGACTGTCCTTGGTCCAATTTTCACAGAATTTCCTATTTATTTTAACTTAGCACTTCATGTTTCCTTTTAGCCCTATTAAACTCGTTTCTATTACTTTTGTATTTATTTGAGGGCAGGCACTAGGTGAATTGTGTTTGCAGCACTAAACATTTTTCATCTAAATAATTTATTGACCATCAGACTGATCTACTACCAACTGAACATGATAAAAATAATGAAAAATAATAATAAATAACATACTGATACTGTAATAAGTAAACAACTTACCGCAACAAGATTATTTTGTACAGGAACTGTCAGCAGGTGAGCCTTAACACTGAGCATGATGTCATTGAAATCCATGGCGGTAATGAAGCCAGAACCCTGCTTGTCATGAGACTTAAAAGCCTGAACTGCATGCTCTTCATGAAAATCCTGCAATGTAAAAGTTTTTAAGAACCTTAGTTTCAAGATACAGTACTTAGTACTGTATATCATTAGAAAAATACAATATAATTTGATGACTGGTAATAAATATGTAAATCATAGAAAATTTCATGCTGAAGTGGTGAGGATTACAAAATACCTTTAAATATCAATCACTCAATAACAATATCCAGTTATATGAGTGCATCTATCACCAGATTAAGTTATCTAAAACAGCTAAAATAAAATGGCATGGTCATGTTTCTCAGGTATATACAGCACATAACCTAAATAGTAATCAATTAGTGAAATAAACATACAGTATATAAATACAAGCAAGTTAAACATGTTTTGTTTGTAAACATGTTTTAATTTTCTAACCCTATGAGTGCCTTATTCAACTCTTGCTGAATTACACTTTAACCCACCAGGCCTAATGCAATATGAGATTAAAGCAGAAGAAACACATTTGGTTATCACTGTCTTATTTGACTACCCTTTCTGAGAGTTGGAACACACACCATTTTCCCCTCTGATGGCTGCCACCACAACTTTCAGTGTAAACATCCCAATTGCTTTTTTTCATGGGGGGCTCTTCCTGCATCAGAGTTTCTTCAATATATTTATGGAATCTCTCACAACATACAATATCTACAAGATTTCTAGTACAGTATATATCAAAGCTTCTCATTATTGGATGTTAACTCTTTGTACAAAATTTTACAATACAGTATGTGGTATTTACAAGATTCTAGTGCATTCAAATGGAAGTGGCTGTTTGGAATCCACAAGAAATATAAAAACCAATTCTTGTCAGTCTGCTTACAAAAGGATGTACAAATCAAGATAACAACCCAAAATGAGGCCACACATACGGGAAGAGGAAGAAACTGAGGCACTCAAAAAACTTGCCTTAGCAATAACACTGAACAGAGAGTGAAATTGACTTACTTCCCTGAAAGACAAACTTTATCCTGGAAAAAGGCATCTTTTTGTAACAGAACAGGTAATAAGGGAAAGATAATTAAACCTTTGGTTATTCTTTTGGTTCATTCATAACAAATGAACTACATGACCCCATGAAGGAAGGAATTTAACTACGTCTTTAATAGTGAGAAAACACAACCCAGTTGCTAATACTATGTAGCTAATTTATTCCTTTCACAAAACGTAACCCAGAAGCAAGGGACTGAACCAAATCCTGTTACAGCTTGGCTCTTATTTCTTACTTGTCACCTGTTTCAAATCTTCTCTGTTAAGTGGAGTTGAGTCCCTGGTTCCAGACCTAAGAGATACAAGCTTTAACAAAATCCAAAGTATATGGGGTTCTGTTTTCAGTCAGTGGACAATGTATTGCTGAAGCAAGTTCGTGCCTAACAACCAACTATCAACTAGGCTCAGCTAAAATTAAGTGCAATACAGTACACTACTGTAAATGGAGATTATGTCCCTACAGTCCTCTCTCTGGTACTTCTCAGGGTAGAAGCAAACCCCATGGAACAAAACACATTATCAAATATGGATAAATTAGGTTTGACAGGATATGGGAAAATAATAACCTAAGTGTCCCCCCAATGAAAGAATTGGTTCAAAATAGCCAAATGTAAGATACCTTGGAGAGTTCCAAAATGTAAGTCATGTAAACGAGCAGACAATAATCACTCGAGAGAAAATTATAAATAGATCAAATCAATAGATCAAATCAATCTTTGGGTGGAATAACCCACACACGTAGAATATTGACTGAACTAATCTACAGGGTAGCTGGGCATCAGGTGCAAAGAGAATTCTAGTCCTAGAATTTGACAAGATGGTGACCCATAGCTGGTGAAAAGTGTATGCAGTACTGACTTGATGGGGAGTAGCTGTATTAGACCCCCCTGCCTCCACAAGGCATCCTCTGCATTTAAATCCATTATGATGACAATGGTTATAAGGGTATGGGATGAATGATCACATGACCAGCCTTCCAATCTGGGCGTGTGGAGTAATGATAGCCACCTGATGGAAGGCATCTAGCTGAAAAAAATATGAAAGCCTAACTTTCTTTACTTTTAATTCCTTATTCTCCTTTTCTCATTGTCCATCTTTTCATGTAACTTACGTGCAGGAACTGAGAAAACTCGACATAATTGATGACACGTTTTCTCTCCTTCCCAAAATACATCTTGACAAATTCACTATCGAAGTCAAAGGGCACTTTCTGGTGAAGTACAGTCTGCTTGATCACCTCAACGAATTCCTCTGCAATAAAAAGGGTGTTATGTCTTAACAATGTGAAAGACTAAGTTTGTTAGTATATTTTCTACAGTACATGGTAAATGATCGGAAAGCAGGTTCAATTTTAGCTTTACATTCCTTATTTAAGGCTTATTATGCATGCTTTATATGTCTGCTTTATTTTCTTGCATGACAGTGTGCACGACAGAGATATATGAAGGGTAGATGGGAGTTTTTGGGGGGTGGCTAGTTCCCTAACCCCTTGTATTTGTTATATTCTTATGGGATTAATTGCTTCGATAACCGTTGACTCACTAACCAACGACTCTTCATAGTCCCAATATACCTTGGTTACCTAGGTATACCTGTCTCAATGAATTTTAAATAAGAGTTTTCATTACTTACCAAAAGTGACCATTCCAGTACCCATGGTGTCAAAAAGCTGGAAGGCTGTCTTATAGAGAGCATCTGGGACACACAAAAGGCCCTCAAAAGCATGGAATTCAGCAAATGAAATGAGGCCATCCTTGCTGGTGTCAAGAATTCCTCCAAGCAGTGTGATCGAGTTGGGGTTGTAGTTAGGTTCAGCGTACAGACCAAGATAGTTCCGCACAAAGTCAGCTGCTGTCATGTACCGCTCTCCACTCTTTTCTACCGAGGCATACTGTGGATGTAAAAAAATAGCATCAGACAAATTACAGCAAGGACATGGGTACATTCTTAACTTGCAGACAGTATAATAAAGAATACACTCTTATGGGGCGAATGGTAGGAGAACACGACTGTCACTGAAATAGAGAGAAAGATTCAATAATTATGTATTTTTACTTGAATATTGCCTGGATGAAAACTACAGATTAAATTATGTAAAATAGTGAACTTGTAAGAATTTTTTTTGAAAGGTTTGATTGTTAAGTAAGAAAACTTTGTTGGGTATTAGACTGGAGAGTAACACCACTTAGTTGAAAAGGTGAATGTTGAAAAGCACTATTCATCTGATGATTGGCTGTGGAGTCAAGAACAGGATGTTGGAGTCTGTCTGTAGAGGTAAAAGCACTGCTGATGGTTGAGTCTAAGTGCAAGATCATTTTCTTTGTAGATTGAAAAAGTGAGTTTAAGATACTGTAGTTATAACATGACTTACTGGTGGAAGGAAAATATAAGGGTAGCTGCATTAAGTAAAAAATTGTTTAAACTGGATTGGTTGTAAGAAGACGAGTCTGAGTACTGACGTCCTAATATCTGAGGGTTGGCGACCACAATCCTCCAATCTAAATGCTCTCAGGATGTTTTTACCAATCCTCAAGGTTTTGTATCTCTCGGGGACCCAGTTTTTAATTTAATTCAATCATCCCAGTCTCTGCCTTCCCTTGGCCCTCCTACCCTCAACTTTGCCCATTAATATTTCTGTTATTTTCCCCTCATCCCAAATGATATGACCGAAGTATCTAATTTCTCTTTTTATGTACATTTCAAGTATTTCTCTTGAAGTTTTTGCTAACCTTAGTACATCTTCATTTGTTCTCCTGTCAGTGTAGCTTATTCTTATCGTTCATCTATAACACCACATTTTGAAGGCCTCCAACCTCTTTCTGGTGTCCGAGCTTCTGACCCATACCTCAGTCCTTGCCATATAAAGCCTTTCGGCGACACTTGTGACTGACCAAATTTAATAATATTGAAAAATTAATATCTCGGTTATCCTTGATTTCCAGCGGAAATATTACATTAGAAAAAGGTCTTAGAATTGCCTAAACATTACGAAAAACATTTTAATAACAGCGAAAGAAATACCAGTGCAAGATCGAAGATTCACCATAAAATGATACGGAATAACACTGAGCAGGGCAGCGCCAGGGTATTCAACGCCCTTGGCAATATGCATATTAGCGACCCCAGGACTCCACAGTACCGTACCCCACATCCATTTTCCATGCAGTCCTATAATAATCGACAAAAGTAAAACTATAATACAATATTGTCATCAAGATTTTTATTCATAAATACCTTAAATTTAATTTCATCACACATTTTTTTTAATATCGCTCCCCTGTATTTAAGTTACAAGTCTTACAACTAACCTGCACCTTACATGAGTCGTGAGGTCGGGAGTGTGTTGTTCAGTAGTTAAACATAGAATGACGTGACGTCACTGAAGCGTTCATTATTAAGTAAAATTTCCCAATTTACTTAACAATGGATGTTTGATTCATTACTTGAATTTATATTTTAAATTTAGACATAATATATTATTCACTATTTTAAATTTATTAAAGTTGTCTGCTGTTCGCCAGTTCGAATTGTTTAGATTTTATGACTGGTGCATATGCCTATACATCAGTATATGCGGTAAATATAGAATATTCTTGGGCCCTAAACGACTCCCTTGCTCACTTTATGGTAACACCGGCCCTGACACTGAGGACCTTAATTAATCAACTTAAAATAGAATCAATCTCTCATGTCTCGGTGAATACTGTTATCAACAATATGTGTCTGATCTCTATCTACGCTTTTATTTTTTAACAAATTGACTTTGAAGGGAGAAAAATAACTATTGCTCTGTGTGTGTGTGTGTGTACAAGACCACGGGAAGCAGGTCGGCGGCATGCAGTAACAGCGCCGCCGACATGGCCAACAACCACACGCTACCAAATTGGCCTTGCTGTCTCGTCCCGTGAAGGGAGGGGGGTAGTGGGCCACGATACGGCACGGGAGGAGGGGAAAAAGAAGAGAAGAAAGAGAACAAGATAGGATAGAACAAGAAGAAAAGGGGAAGAAAAAGAGGGAGAGGGAAAAAATAGAGGGGGGAAAAAACAGAGGAAGAGAGGGGAAAGAAAAAGAGGAAGAGGGACAGAAAGATGAAGAGGGGATATAAAAAGAGGAAAAGAAGGAGAAATGAAGAAATAAACAGGAAAATAGTAAAGTTTGAGAACGGACAACGGGGAAGACTTTACCAAGAGGAAAAACATGAAAAGTACGATAAAAAGATTATTGGTTATTGGGACTAGATTGTGGTGAAGGGAAAATATAAGGAAAAGAACTATGTGGCGAAGGAGAATAGTGGTTAATGGATGGTGGCAGTGGAGAGTGGTGGTGGTAGTAGTAGTGGTGGTGGTGGAGAGTGGTGGTGGTGGTAGTAGTAGTGGTGGTGGTGGTGGAGAGTGGTGGTGGAGGAGGGGTTAGCGGCGGAGATGGCGGTGGTGGTGGTGGTAACAATGATGGAGATAGACGGTAAAACAATAATAATAATAATAATAATAATAATAATAATAATAATAATAATAATAATAATAATAATAATAATAATAATAATGGTAAAAACGAGGAAGAATGTGAACAAAATGATAATATTAAGACCGTCATAATGCTGTTGGAGGAGATAATAAATAATAACAACGGCGTGTGGAAGAGGAGTGTAAAGGAGGGAGGAGGAGAGTGTGGCGGGCGTCTTGTGCTGAGTTTGACGCCCAGCAGCAGCAACACATATTTGCTGGGTGTTGAGCTGCCTCCCACTTTCTCGCCGCCCACCCACCTCTCTCTCTCTCTCTCTCTCTCTTAGCAAACACACATCTTAATTCCCATTTCTCCTTCTATCTCTTTCCCCTCCCTTCCCATTCCCATTCCCTGTATCTTTCCCCTTTCATTCCTTGGTTATAATTACCATCATAACTAATCTTCCATCTCCTTCTTCTTCCTGTTTACAGTCTTGTTCTCTTATTTACCCTCTCATCACTCTCCCTCATACGCTTCCGACTGACTCTCCCTCTTTATTTTCCATTTTTCGTTTATTTTTTCTTCTCCAGATCTACTCTCTCTCTCTCTCTCTCTCTTAACCCTATTCTTCCTTGATTCCTCCTTCCTTCCTCTCTACCTTTCTTCATTGTAATTCCTTACGCCTTTCTTTCCTCCCTTCACTCTTCCCTCCCTCACTTCCTTAGCCTCTCCATTCTTACTTGGTGTAGAGTGGTAACGCGCGGGGAGAGTGTCATTCTGGGGTGAGGCATCATGGAGGAAGAGGGTAGATGGGGTGAGGGAGGAGGAAGGGGGGTAGGGGAGGGGGAAGGGGGGTAGGGGAGGAGAAAAGTAGAAATGTGGGTAAGGAAAGATAGAAGTAAGGGAGAACACACACACACACACACACACACACACACACACACACACACACACAAAACTCTATGGGGTTTACCATTCACTCTTCAGTTACTAACGTTACTAATCACTGGAAACTGGTAGGAGGGGCTGGCAGTAGAGCGTAGTAAGGGAACTGGCTGGGTTGTAATGAGTGAGACGAGTCATGGAAGGCCAACCCAGGAATGAGGGAAGTGTCGTAAAAGGAGAATGATAAGAGTTTGTGGCCGGGAAGAGGAGGGAGGGAGGGTTTTGGCAGAAGGCACGTGTGTATACCGACATGGCGTGTGTGTGTTTATTGGTTCTCCATAACACCTGCTCCTCTTTCTAATCCTTAACTACACGTATGACAGCCTCTGAATTAAACTTATCTTAACTTAATCCTAAACTTACGCTCTAATCTACCTGACCTAACTTAGTCCAACTTAATCTAAATGAATGTGAAAGCAGGACGTGAACTAGCTGGACATCGTGGTGAGTCAGGACCGATTTTTTGTTCGACAACCCAAACTCAGGTGACTATCGCCAAAGTGTCACCCGGGGAACAAAGTGACAGCCCTCGTCCTGGTATAGTCTGCTGCCGCGGAATAGAGGCAAAAAAGAATCGTGTGAAAGTCGCTTTTATATACACCATGAAGCCAATCATTATGTGTACCTCTGTCCAGATGTTAGGATGTGATTTTCCCTAACTTTCCAATCAATTCATCTGTCCGGGCGAATGTCATTAAAACTTGCCACGATAAATGGTTGTGTTGTGGAGCTGCACGACTTTAGGTTAGATTTTTGCAGGAGGCCGGAAGAGAACGAGGCGGCGGTGGGGGAGGGGGGGGCGAGGCGGTGGAGGCAGAGGGGCGGCAGTGGAGGCGGAGGGGCGGCGGTGGAGGCGGCGTGGTGGGAGGGTGAGTCATGTGTACAAACAGAATGGTGAGGTGCGGCGGGGAGATCCCACACTTTTTTCTAGTTGGGTTTATAGCCACAATGGCATCACCCAGAACCCAACAGCAACCACAAAGGAGGAGGAAGAACCAAGAAGGGGAAGACGTAGAAGAAGGAAGGGTTGGGAAGAAGAGGAGAAAAAAGAGGAGAAAAAAGAGGAAACAAGTGGTAGGGGGTGGAGGACAGTGTCGCGAGAGCAGTGTGTGGGTGGCGGCAAACGTTGGGACGTGTGGTGGCAGTTTTAGCAATAACAGGCGTAAACAAACCTTATGATGCCACACTCACAACACACTATAACCACCCTCATACCCCCCCCACACTCACACTATGTACGACCCTCATATTCTTCCTACCCCTAACTTGTTACTTTAAATAAGTATCAACACAGAAAACGTACACCGGTTGAGACTGGTGGTGGCCAATCAAGTCTAGTATACACAGTTATACAGTTTTACAAAGGGGGGGAGGGTAGTGAAGCGGACTTGAGTGAGCCGGAGAGGGCGAGAGGGGCAGTGGGACGGACATGAGTGGGCAGACGATCCCACACCATACAAACAATAACTTTCATAATCTATTCACTACATATTACTTGCTTAA